CTCTATCCTTTCCAGTACGCAACCCCCTTCCCTTCCCTTCATGGAGTACTTTGAGCTGATGTGTGGGTTCACATTTTGGACCTGTGTACATAATATTTTTTGCCTTTCTGTATGATATACATATGGAATTCAGTGGGATATCTAGACATAATCAACAACTTTTAAGTCTTAAAAAAAAAAAAAAACGGGGCCGGGCGTGATGGCTCACGCCTGTAATCCCAGCAGTTTGGGAGGCGGAGGTGGGAGAATCTCCTGAGGTCAGGAGTTTGGAACCAGGCTGGCCCACATGGTGAAACCCCATCTCTACTGAAAATACCAAAATTAGCTGGGCGTGGTGGCACGTGCCTGTAATCCCAGCTAATCGGAAGGCTGAGGGGAGATAATCCCTTGAACCCTGGGAGGCGGAGGTTGCAGTGAACCGAGATTGCACCATTGCACTCCAGCCTGAACAACAAGAGCAAAACTTCATATCAAAATATTTCCCTAATTAGGACTAAAAGAAGAAATTAGGGAATAGTGCCTTCATGGTAGGGAACTAACTTTTCCACTTATGCTATCACTGCATGTGAGTATCTTTTGGAGGGATGTTCATCTTACTATGTTGTGAAGCAATTATTCTGAAGGGTTCATAATAGTAAAGCCTCAGATCTGAGAGTACAGTCTTGTCTGAAGGACTAGGCCTTTCTTGTTGACAGTTGCCAAGGAAAGAGGCTAGCCCTTAGACAGAAACATTTTACTAAGTGAGTGGGCTCAAAATTGATGTGAGATGAGATTTGATCTCCAAAGGTCAAGTATTCATGAAGGTTTAGAAGTGTACTCTTAATTGCTGTTAACGATGGCTCTCCTGATCCATCACATAGTAGCAAACAGAGAGCTAAGAAGGAAGGGCACAGATCACATTTGGTTTTTCATCTTTTTTTCCTCCTCCAGGGTAGCAAACGAGCTTTGGAGAGCAAGGAATAATTTTAACCCAGATTATCAAAATTCATACAATTATTCAGGTTTGTCGCCATTTTTTAAATCCCCTAATCTGTAATAAACTATTTTAATTGTACTACAGGAAACAAGAAGAGGGTCATTTGTCTATGCGTGGGCCAGATGCCAAAAGAGCTAGCCATAATCCTCCTGCCCCTGCTATGTTTGTCTTAAGGGCAATCAGTTCAATGATCCCAATGGCAAGGGAAAGCCAGGGAAAACAGTCAGGACAAAGTGGTCTGTCTCCTGATCATCTGAAAATTCTCCTTCTCATGTGAAATTTGGAAGGTCAGGGTTATATTTCTGTAAAGAAAAACAGAATCCTAACACTTATGATTCATTGCTTTATCCACAGAGCCTTCCTAGCACATGGTGCTCCCTAAGAATTTGTAGAGTAAATAAATAAGCCACTACATATTTATTGAGATTTGTCTTGCTTTGTTCCTTTCACTTTGTTTCATAGCTAGCCTGTAAGCTACAGTGCAGGTAACTTTTATTCATCTTCAACTCAACATCCATTGAGCACCTTCCATGAGCAAGGAACTGAGCTAGCTGCTGCAGGATACATAATAATGAATAAGATGTGGCACTTTGCTTTACAGGGCTAAAAGTCTAGTGGCTGAGATAGGTGTGGACATAAAGAACTCTCTTTAATGTGTAACCACAGGGATGTCTGAAGTTTCTTAGCTTATTACCTCTCTTTTTGTACTCATTTTTCAACTTCTCTCTCCCTTAACAACACTTGTGCATTTATGCGTCATCTTCCTTGCCTGACTTACTCCCTTGACACCATTCCTACATTCTTTCATATCAACTATTCTTATTACTCTAATAGCTCTTTCCTCTCTCTTTTAAATAAGCTTTCAGTACATCCTTCTTGACTGGAGAAAAAACTTCCCTGTAGGCTTTTCTTTGATTATCTTTCAAGTCTGGTTTATTTTCATTTTCCTTCAAGTTGACTGTTATTAACTTTTGGTAGAATAACATTCTCTAGATTTTCCCCAGAAGATATTTAGTATATCTTATTAGTAAAGTGGAAAGTCTGAGCCTAATGTGTTGGTTTTTTTTTCCCTTGAACACATAACATATTACTGAAGCTGGTTAAAATTCTTAATGGTGGACATAGGCACACTGTTTTTTGAGACAAGATCTCTCTCTGTTGCCTAGGCTAGAGTGCAGTGGCATATATACGGCTCGCTATAACCTCAACCTCCCAGGCTCAAGCAATTCTCTCACATTGGCCTCCCAATTAGCTAGGGACTACAGGTGCAGGCCACCATGTCCCCACTTTTTTTTCTGTTAGTAGAGAGGGGGTCTCACCGTATTGCTCAGGCTGGTCTTGAACTCCTGGGCTCAAGCTATCCTCCCAAAGTGCTGAGATTAAGGCATGAGACACTGTGTCCAGCCTGCATGCTGTCTCCTAGACAATGTAAACAATACTGTTTCATTAAAATCAGATCAGACAATAAGTATAGTTACCTGAAATCCAAAGATCCAATAAAAAGAATTAAGGCCAAAAAAAAAAAAAAAAAAAAAAAAAAGGTGAGGCATCTCTTTCCCTCTCTATCCTTTCCAGTACGCAACCCCCT